TGATTTTGAAAAATTAGGGGCCATTCTCTTTGGCCGTTTTGGGTCGTTTTCTGTTTTCGATTTTTCAAAACAATGAAAACGCGTTTTCTTTGTTATTTTCGAAAACGAATTTTGGAAAACGAAAAAAAAAATGTGAAGAAAACGCAAAACTTCACAAACATATCAGAAAATGGAAAACATGGGAAACAGCCCTGTTTCCCCAAAATGTCTCCTCCCTTCCTCCCTCCTTTTTGCCACGCCACCTCCACCGCCACCTTCCAACCCTCTAAAATCCAGCCAACCTCCTCCAAAACGGCCAGATTTATATACCATTGTGAAGTCCTCAATCCCCTCTTCAATAACCACACAAACAACAATCCAATCATTTCTTCAGCAGGCACATGGGACGATGTGTTACATGTCAATTGCACCAATTAATTCAGAAAATGCTCTAATTTTCGTTCCATCGCCACCTTCCCCTCGCCTCCATTTCCCAGTCGTGCCCTTCCCCTCACCTCCACACACGTCGCGGTCGAAGGAATCTATACCGGTCAGTTCATTCACTGTGTGAAGAAGGCCAAGCTTGTTGTCGAAAAAGAAGAAAGAGAGAGACAGGAGGAAGAGAGAAGGACGGGAGGAAGAGCTGGGGATTGAGAGAGAGAGAGAGAGAGAGAGAGAGATGGGAAATGTGTTTGGATGAGAACATGTTTTCAATTTTGAGTTTTTTAAAACAATTTTTCAAAATGGCAAAAAGAACACATTTTCAACAATCTCAAAATGGACACTCAAAATACAAAATACAAAATGAATTCAAAACTCAAACACACAAAATCGAAATACAAAGAGAACAACTTCTTAAGTTTCCACCCATTTCAATTTCACGCCTTTTGTCTCTTTTCATTCTTCTTTATTTTATTTTTTTGTTTTTTATTTGCCACGTAAGCCAATTTCAAAATCCTGTGACATGCCTGTGAAACTCCTCCTGTACTCCTAGCAGCACCGATGTATGTATGTGTATGCCAGTATGCAACGGCAACTGCTCTTTTCCTCACTAAAATTCCTCAGATTCTGCACCCTCTTTGTTTCCCAACAAAATATACCCAGAGAAATCAAATACCCCAAATTAATTCAAGATTACCCATTTCAGTTACAATTAAACAATCAGATATCAGATTACAATCTATCAATTGTAATCTGATTTCATGAAATGTACAACTCCACGCGAATTAAGTCCCACCAGCACCAGCAGCAGCGCCGCCGTGAACCACCGATGCACAGCCGCCGGTCATGGTGTTGCTCCAAGTGATGAGGTGGTAAATCAGGCCACAACCCTGGTGCCGCTACCCTCTATCATTCTCAGTCTTTTCGATCATACTCGTCTTCGTGTAAGAAGACGGAGACACCATTATCCAACAAGTCCACCCCAAGCTCCCCTCAGGCCCGGAAGTTGACCCTCGCCCGCCGGATCCTCTCTCCGGGTCGGGTCTCTCCCATATCGGACAAACCGCATTCAGAAACCTCCCTGAAAAAGACCCAAACAACTCCTAATTCTCCTAAACTGCCCCTACCCAGTGGTTCACGCAGTCCTGTAATTGACGCAAAAGATGATAGACATTCGAGGATTTTCGATGTGAGGTTGAATCTGAAGGGGAAGAATGGGGGATCCTTGATTCTGGAACTCAGCTCGGAAGTTTTGATTGAGAACAGCGTGGTTTTTGGGGATTTGTTTACTGATTATAGGAAGAATCTGAGCGGGCTGTGTAGGATTGAGGTAGCTGATGTGGAAAACTTGAATGTTTTTCGTGAAACAATTGAGCTCATGTTGGATGAGGATATTGAAAAGAAGCTCCTCAAGATTGGGGTTTTTCGTGCAATTGATATACTTGAGGTATGTGTCTTTCTTCTTGGAAATAAAAGAATCCATATTCTGTTAAAATGCAGATATATATGTTTACAGAATCTTTCAAGTTCGCAGATATTAATATGTGAGATGAAAGAAGTATATATCATATTACTTTTAGGATGTTACTTCTATAGAAATTAATTCAACAAATAAAAGGGAAAATGATTTGTGTACATAAATTTACATTCTTGGATTTGAAGATAAACTTGGTTT